TTCCCCCCTCAATACATTTTGCTGGATCCGCCACTGTACTTCGACATTGTGAACCAGACTAATATAAACCTCAATCCGTAACTTATTTACTAAGTAATTAATACCCTTCCGCTTATTCATAATTTAAGTATACCCACAGTCCCAGTTGAAGGACTGTGGTCAATTCAGTATGATTGCACGAGTTGGAATGCGATTAATTGCCATAGTTGTTGTCAGCATTTTGTAAACGAGATGACCTTTCTAATACCCATTTTTTCAGAAGCTTGCATCGGAAATACAAATTGCTCGGTCCTTAGGCACTCTACCTGTCGGTCTGTTGTTGATGTTGTGTGTTCGAACCTTGGACAACTATTTCAATAATTGAATAATTTCAATATTTTTTTATAATCTCCTCGTCAACTACAGACAGACGCTGCGTTGCGATAAAGCTGCTCACTTGTAGCCAAGGTGCAAGGTCTGATTTACAATAGCGGTTTACAAAATGTGCCAAAGTTACGTAGCAATTACGCCGTGCAAATGTATACAAGTGTGACTGGCTTATAATTAGACCAAAGGACATGTATGAACTTACAAAAACGAATAAACATCCAGAACAATGGGTCACATGACTAAGAATGATAAAAATGAGGATATCGTACGAGCCTCGACGTTTTTCTTGAACTGCGCCCTCTAATGGCGGCTCATCTTTTGTTTATTTGTAGCCATCGACGAGGGCGCACAATTGAAGTGCACATTATTTGCTAGTACATTACTTGCTAGTTTATACTCGATTCACTAGTTTTATATTTTGAGCATATTTACTGGATTTTAAATTTGCGGATGACAGTGAAAACATGCGTTCTATTGTAATTTGTATTTGTTCAGGAGGAATTACTTGAGCGGATTCAAATCATAAGTGAAAAGAACGAAATTCAAATCCAGTAAAAAAATAAATGCGTTTACCTTAATTATCATAATGCATGGCAATTGTCATGTACAATTCTTTCCTAGAAAATGATTCCACATGTAGTAACAAAAATGCAAATTTGTTTTTGTTGTTGTATTTGTATCTAGCTGCCGGGTCTTTAACTTTTTTGTGTCATTCTTTTGTCTTTGCAAAAATGGTCTTTTAGTTATGTCTGTTACATTTGGTGTCCTTAAATTGTTGTTTTGACCCCCATTCAGTTCTTGAGGTTGAACGGGAACAAAATTTCTTGGCTAAATGACGTCACTATAGGTAGAACTTTCCTTGGCAAATGAAACAGATAACACGCCAGGAAATGGTCATCTGCTACTATTAGTAGTTTGCTATAGACCTCTTGGTATTTACTGTTGTTGTCTATTTTTCACTACATCTTACATGCGAGGACATACATTTATTTGTAAATTTCTTGCAAAAAACTCCGGACACTAGACCCATACATCTAAAGCAGACGACATGTTCGCTTTACGGGAGTATCTATCGTGACGTCATGTTATCCTCGTTCGACCAGAAAAAAATGGCTACCACTGGAGTTACGTGTGGTTCGAGCACCGAATCCCGGGAGGAAGAAAATCATGCGCTTTGGTGAGAGTTTAATACACATATCATCGATCGGTGATAGTTTCAATGGTATGATAAAAGAAAATATTCAGCTTTTGGCGACTTTTATTTGCGATACCGTTTGGAGTCGCATGTCAATGCTCAATGCGACGAAC